GTCCTTTGCACGTTGGCCACGACGAATATCGCATTCAATGGAACGATGAGCTGTACGAGATATATGACGACATTGATATAGTTCAGCGAATTAAAAGACAGCGGCTACGCTGGCTAGGTCATGTTGTCCGTTATCACGCACTATTGTCTCTGCTCGGGCGCCATGAAAATTCTAAAGCTTTTTTGAGAAAATTAGTCACTTGAGAATGCAATAAAATTCTTCATTCGAGGAATTTTATGACTTAGCCTGGGAGACACTGCAATTGTCGGGAAGTCTGAAGCTGGATTTGATGGAGAGTTCCCGACAGTAAATCTCTCCACCAACCTTCTCCCCAAGCTTTCACCTATCCGTAAAGAAGCTTACTGCCCCCTCCTCCAACGGCTCTTCCCTACCAAACCTCTCTCATCGGTATATTCGCAGAGAAGGAACCACCGTAGTTTGATATGGCGACTCAATGATACAGTTGATCCGGTATGCAGTAAAAGCTTGTGAGGGTACCCGAGTGTTCAGATACACGCTCCTTTAGGAACCCAGATTCTCTGAGTCTAGTAGCCACCTTTGCGGCCATACACTTTCCGGCAATATCCACCTGCGTTATGTTCAGAATTGCATTAAGTGCAATGGTTGGGGTGGACGTTAGTGGACCGCACATGCTGATGGGCGCAGCTCGTTGAACGCCTTATAGTTTCTTTGCAAGTGTGGTCTTTTGTAAAGCTCTTCACCACATAAAGACTGCATAGAACATTATGGCAACATTATTGGCTATGGTGTCATAGAGCCAGAGTACCACCTTTGGTGAGAGGCCCCAAATTCTGCAATTTTTTTGTAGATCCTCCCTCCACTTTAATTATGCATCCAGCGTCATGCCAAGATATTTCGCCGAGGTGGAGTATGTGATTACTTCATTCCAATTGATGAATTGGTATAAGGCCCTTTTCKTCAATTATGTTCTGAAGTTTTCTTATGCTCCAACATCAGGACTTGGCAAAAAATATTTTGTTTAATTATGGGCAATTCAAAGTTGCAGCAAATAAGCTATGGGAGGCACTGACTTTAAAGCCTAACACTGCCGGGCCACCGATGAAAGATGCTAAATCTTGGCGAAAAGTAAGATAAATTAAATAATAGATAGAAATTTCTTTTAACAAAGCCTCGAAACAAAGGACTGGTCGTGGTCCGTACCAGGAAAAGCTATTAACTGCAGCAGAAGAGCAACTCCTCCAAGCTACGGGGTTAGATGTTGCTGTAGAAGGGTTGACCGTAGTAAAATCTTTTTGGAAATGCAGAGCCCGAAGAAGGATTAAATGAGTTGGTAGAAATGATTGTAAAAAGCGAGGAAGAAGAAGATCCGACACCATCCACCAGTCGCAGAGCCATAAAATCATTCAAGTGAAAAGCTTTCATTTTTAAAATGCAATTTACGCGCATATGAAGTAACGGAAGCGCAAATTAATAAAAATATTAAGAAACTACTTGCTCTAAAGGATAGATCTCTCCAAATAAAAGAAGAGGCACATACTGCAGATATGAAAATAAAAGCTGTGGAGTTGCAAATTAAAACTCATGAGCTTGATATTTTAAAGAGAAAAATTCATAAATATATCCAAATATATATAAGATATGTTAATTCCAAGTTTCTTATTGAAAATATATTTATTAAAATTAAATTTGAATCCAAATGTTGTTGGAACGTTTAATTCAATTATTATCTAAAGACAACATAATATGATCTCTAATTTTATGACCAATTTTAGTGAATTGAGTCTAATTTCCCGTATCTATTTCAGCATCATTCTTTTCATTTACAAAATATCTGCAATATGTTGAATTTTTAGATTGTATGCAGATGTTATGCAACGCTGCACATACATTGCCGAACTTTGCCATCTTTTCAGAACTATACCGACTTCTTTTATCGTTACTAAGAATTTTCCACCGGCCTTTCAGTATACCAATGATTCGTTCAACAATAGAGCGTGCTTTTGCATGGGTTTCATTAAACCGTGCTTGGCATGAGCCATGTTCGGGGTTTTTAAATGGTGTCAAACACCATGGTTCTAAAGGTTATCCAGAATCTCCTGCTAATTGAGAAAATACGTAGATATCTCTGTAAATGTATTTTGCAGCTGTATAAGTGCATATATTACCCAAAAGCCAGACATTTCTCATATTATTTTGATTGTATCCGTATGCTTCCTCCAAAAATCTCCTCTGCGCAGAATGCTTCCATACAAAGGAATCGTCAGCGGCTCCACTATATTTTGAATGAATAGCTAAAATTCGATGTGCGTAATCACAAATCTGTAAATATGAGTATGTACATACATATTCGTAAGTATGTGGTCTACAAATCCAAATATATAAATTTATATGCTATGTATTTATGTGAACAAACATGTGCGACTTACTATCATTGAATTAAGACTGTGGTATCCTTTTCTGTTGAAAAACATATGTTCATTCACAGTTGGTTTTTGAAGGCCAAAATGTGTACCATCAATACATCCGATAACTAAACATTTGTATATTTATTTTTAGCATCTTTATTTAGTCGACAAACATACCTCCTGGAACTTTATATTTCTCAACAAAGTATTCTATTCACTTAGATAAACGGTTTGGCGAAAACTTAGTGAAATGTAGACAAAGCCTCGTTTCCATTTCATTAACAATTAAAAAGTGGTTTCCAACTTAGTGTTGATAGCCTCCACCTGCCAAAAGGGACAAAGTCGCTGCTAATAGAAGAATTGGTGGTACTGCGGTTGATAAATGTCCGTTAAATTCTATTTACGATAGGATGAAACTAAATGCGTCTGTCTAAACCGCTTCCTGAATCTGTAAATGATTTAAAATGATAAGATTGGTACCAAGTTAAACGGTATAATTAAAAATGTTCTTACGCTGCTTCAGGTAAAGCCATGGGATTACTTTTGTCACAAATCCTAGACCTTATGGCCATTTGGTGATGTTCTTCATCTGGATCAAATGTACTTAAGTAAAAAAAAAACACTTAGGGTTCATTTTTTTGCCTGCAAAAACTAAATTTAGTAAATTTATATATAAACATATAATAAATTTGAATATTTACGTCGCAATTCCAATTTAATTACTTCTTTCGTTTCGTTTGTTTTGTTTCGTTATTCGAAAATGTCATTTAGAACTACACCAGGGAAGTTATTTTATAAAATTTCGATTCGATTACTTGCTCGCTCACGACTGCCGCGATTCGGGCCCAGGTATTATCTTTATAAAAATTCGTTATGTATTCGGAGAAATGAATCAATTACTCTTTGTAAGATAAATTTCAAATTTGAAAAAACGTAATTATTTTTTGTCGAAACATTTTAAAAACTATCAAAACAAAAATGCATGAAAAGCGTAAATCAGATAAAACTTGAGTTAACATCCCCACCTTAACGATGATAATCGCGGTATAGTAATAGTGCAACGCTTTGTATTTATTTGGTATTATTAATAATCTCTGATAATCTTTGATCTGATAAGGGTTTCAGTTTTATAATAAATAAACATTTATTATATTTTACATATGTTAGTTCCTGCCTTTAATTTTGATTTTATATTGCTACCCCGCTATTTTATCCAGCTAACGACTGAGTGTTATGTATAAAACTAAATGACAGCTTCAGTACAAGGCCTTGATATTCTGAGAAGGTTGATCTTGCATTACTCCACAGTACTGAGCATTACTCTATCAACGTCACGTCAAAAGTGTTTTCAGCCTTATTGTAAATATCATGAAAATAAACTAATACAATAACATGTACTTTTATTTTCGAAAAATTCATGTCAATCACATTTTTGTTTTGATTTGGTCACGTTGAAAAAAATTAAAAATTCATTAAGCCATTTTACGGGATTGTTTTAGCTTAAAAGCGTGCTTTTATTCTTAAAATTTTAATTTTTCTTTATTTTCCAGCAAATACTTTTAAGTTTTAGGGTTCAAAGTTTGTAATACCCAGAAGAAAACGTCGGAAGTCCTATGGAATAAATACATACACATAGTACATATGTATATATAAAAGATCAGCATCTCGTTTTGAAAAAAGTGTTGAGCTTGCCATAGGCCGCGTGAAGATTCTAATCACTTTTCCACTCACACGTATGTATATATGTGATCATACATCTTTGTTGCGCTCATTCAGCAGTGTCAAAGAAATTATTTATGTAAGAATATGGCTGAACTGCTCTAATTACCCTAATCGTCAGCTGATGCAGGGTTGCATTTTTTGATTCCTAGTTTTAAATTTGTTGTAGAACTCAATAAATATTTTAAATTTAACTTTTTTTTATTTTTCTTTACTAATAAACAATTTTTACAGAATAACAACCATATTCAATAAAGAAATTATTAACATCTGCAAATAAAGAATAATTAAATACAATTATTATTAATTATATAACATGATAACTGTCTCTTATACACATCTAGATGTGTATAAGAGACAGGTATTATATTAAGTACATTTTTACATGTGCATGT